AGTTTATGATTTACTTTGTCTCACTAGAAGCCGATGAATGCCTTCATTTCCACAATGCTCTAATATCTTGATTATACCAAGGCTCATTTTCGGTATTAACTTACCAGGCAAAAGAAGACTTGCAGGAATTTAGTTCACGGAAACAAGGAGGAAATGAAGACTCACTCCCATCCACTGGCCTAACCCTACTTTCCCTGCTCCAAGTTCATCTATGGCAGTATTCTCGAATAGGTACTACAAAGTTTGTAATTCCGCCTGCAATGTCGGGAGTAGCAATGACAACGTCGATTTACGTAACTTTCAGGGTATGGTAGGTTCGCGATGGGGAGGAGAGGCGTTTGGGCAGGTGGGGTCAGATATTGAAGTAGAGGCGAGTGTGGTGATGTAGCTTTGTACTAAGAATGAGAGTTGTGAGATGGTGGGCAATGAGATCCCACGGAGGGATGTGTTGGATACTACTTGTGAAAGATTCGGGAGGGAAAGTTGACGTGATTGGGGAAGGGAAAGGGGGATTTTGAAGAATAGGGGAAGGGGGTCATTTGTCTGTTGATAGTTGAATTTGTTTTGTAAACAGAAATAATTAGCGAATGCCAGAAAACTGCATTGAGGCAGAGAGTTAGGATATTGTGAAAGTCGCTAATTGATTACGCTAGATGCTGACCTAGGACGTCCTTCCCAGACGCCACGACCATCCAAATCCCCATCCTGCCTTCCGTCACCAGCATTCTCCTAACTCCGAACCAATGCATGCCTGCTCAGTGATTTCGTTACGGTTGTGTGTGCATCAAATTTGCCCTTGGCTCATCAAGGCTCACCCAAAAGTCTGGCTGTAATATCTCCCATGTATGCCTCCTCAAGCTCATAGTCTTCTCCATTATTCCGATCGATGCTGACAAAGTTGAACGCATCAACTACTCGATCCAATTCAAATCCCATGGCAACAAATCTGTCGATCAAATCTCTGTTGTATCCTTGATATCTAATCGATGTTAGCCAAATGCCACCATCTCCGAAAGGAAAATATTACCTAGCAATCAATATCCGCTCCTCTTCCTCTCTGGATAGAACCTGCTGGGATCTCGGCTTGGAAGAAGTTGGTTGCGAAGCTGTGGTAACCTCCCATTGCGTTGACTTTGGTGCTGAAGCATGCTTGATTGCCCACTCTCGTGCGACCTTCTGGAACTGTTCCGGGTTCTTCATGAGCATGCTCGCTACCTCTGCATCTTGTGGATCCTTGGGCTCGGGAGTGCTAAGGAGGGACTGGAGGGATAGAAGGGCGGATTTGATTGTGAGGACTGGTGACCAAGCGGTTCCTAGAGTGTCGAGACAGATTGCACCCTAACTTGTTCTTAGCTTCACATACTTCTTAAATTATCAGGCTAGATATACCGTTTGACTGCTAACATTGGGGTGCCACAGCTTTGTTTGGAACTTCATGACCGGTGGCCGAAATGGGTATTCGTTGGGGATGTTGATGTCTACCACGTAAGTTCCACCTTCATATGGCGTATCTGGAGGACCTGGGAAGGACGCATGTAGATGTGAAAGGTCTCCATCAGCCGCCTCGCAGAAGATCTTGGACTGGGTATCATTCTGGATGTCTGCCAGCTCCTTGGCCACTCTGCGTAGTCTGTTGGATGCCATAGTAGGAAAGTAGGCGGGGTTCGAAGAACGTCTAGCTTTAAGTCGAGGTCTTACAGAGGTTGGATGTAGTTTCGAAAGTGAGTTCGTATTTAGACAAGACCCAAAAGAAACTGAAGGACTATGTTCTGAAGATATGCGTTGGGTCTTGTGGGATTCGGTATTCGCAAAGGAACAGTTGTTGATGTTGAAAGGAATGAAGGGTTTTGATGGATTGATTTTCTGTTTCTGTTTAATGTTAGAATGGGGTTGGATCAGAGATGGAGAGCAAGATATTATTCCAGAACAAGGAAATAAGGGGCGTGCTGGCAAGGCAGCCCAAGAAAGCCTTACCGTTGAGCGAGCTGTGTTGGCGGGGTACAAATCGGGCGACTCAAGGCAGCCTTGTGAAGATTGATTGTAGTTAGGAGGCTGCTATATCTTTTGCAGTGGCTTGACAGTGAGACTGTTGTGCTTCCAAAGGCAGGCTGACCACTTTCATGGAGACAGTACAATGTGGGTGATGTCTTGACGTGGTTCCAGTGAGTGTTGTGTTTGGGCCATTCGAGGCTGTGAGAGTCAGTGAGTGTATCCATCGGGACTTCATGCCTCAAGCTTCCGATTGCGAGCCTAAATATTAGGGCATCAAACGAGGCAGCAATTTTTAGCGTAGATCGGCCATTCGCGTTCCCTGTCGCCTGCTGAACTCATCCCGTCGAGCTTCAAGCTGGCACCCCTTCCATTCCATTACAAACACCATACACAACACCTTTTTCTTCCATCAACCTCACCTCACCTCATCGACCAGACCGGCCTGGTCTCTTCGACAATCTAAACCCTCACTTCCTGTCATAACAGCGTTTGGAAGCCGCTGCAGGCACGATGGTAAGCTCTTGTTGACACCGGGTTGGAGATCACTATTGACAGCATCACAGGGAAATCAACAGTCGGGGCTCGGAGGAGCTGGTCAAGGCGGAGACAATAAAGATGAGAAGGACAAGAAGGTGCGAGACTGCTGTGCATCGCGGGATGCTGATCATGATGCTAATCGTTCATTGCAGAAGGACAAGCCCAAGTACGAGCCACCACCACGTCCAACAACCAGAATCGGTCGCAAGAAGCGTAAGGCTGCTGGTCCAAATGCTTCTGCCAAACTCCCTGCCGTTTACCCTACCTCCCGATGCAAGCTGAGATATCTTCGAATGCAACGAATTCACGACCATCTGCTGCTGGAAGAAGAATACGTCGAGAATCAAGAACGGTTAAGAAAGGCAAAGGCTGCTAAGGAAGGAGGCGCTTCCGTTGCAGCTGCCAGTGATCCCGAGGCTCTTGACAGAAATGCCGATGAGCGTGGACGAGTCGATGATATGAGAGGTAGCCCGATGGGTGTTGGAACCTTGGAGGAGATGATTGATGATGACCATGCTATTGTTTCCAGCACAACTGGCCCCGAATACTACGTCTCCATTATGTCATTCGTCGACAAGGATCTCTTGGAACCCGGTGCGAGTGTTCTCCTTCACCACAAGTCTGTTTCCATTGTTGGTGTCCTTACGGATGATGCGGACCCTCTAGTTACGGTCATGAAGCTAGACAAGGCCCCAACGGAGTCCTATGCGGATATCGGTGGTTTGGAGTCTCAGATTCAAGAAGTTCGGGAGTCGGTCGAGTTGCCTCTTCTGCATCCTGAGTTGTATGAGGAGATGGGTATCAAGCCTCCGAAGGGTGTTATTCTTTACGGTGCACCAGGTACAGGAAAGACTCTGCTCGCGAAGGCTGTTGCAAACCAAACCAGTGCGACTTTCTTGCGTATTGTGGGTAGTGAGTTGATTCAGAAGTACTTGGGTGATGGGCCACGGCTTGTCAGACAGCTTTTCCAGGTATGCATCTACAGATTCGATTCCTAATTTCCTCAACTAACCATGTCTAGGTTGCTGCCGAAAACGCCCCTTCAATTGTCTTCATTGACGAAATCGACGCTATTGGGACCAAGCGATATGAGTCTACATCTGGAGGAGAGAAAGAGGTCCAAAGAACTATGTTGGAGCTTCTGAATCAACTGGATGGTTTCGATGATCGAGGAGATGTCAAGGTCATTATGGCTACGAACAAGATCGACACCCTCGACCCCGCCCTTATCCGTCCCGGACGTATCGACCGAAAGATCCTCTTTGAGAACCCCGATCAAGTCACCAAGCGCAAGATCTTCACTCTACACACATCCAAGATGTCTTTGAATGAGGATGTTGATTTGGAGGAGTTCATCAACCAAAAGGACGACCTTTCTGGTGCAGACATCAAGGCTATCTGCTCGGAGGCTGGCCTGATGGCGTTGAGAGAGCGTAGAATGCGTGTCCAGATGGCGGATTTCAGAGCTGCGAGAGAGCGTGTCTTGAAGACGAAGACAGAGGGTGAGCCCGAGGGATTGTACTTGTAACGGAGCTTGTGGTGGACGGAAGGAAGGGATGATAGAGCGCTTGCTTCTCTTCGTGGAACGTGTATTCTAGAGAGATCATAATGCATCACAGACGATGATTGTCTCGACTTTATATCTCGTCTTCATTGCTTTCTTCTGAACGTGTGCGTGCTTGGTAGAGTTACCTGGGTATTTTGGCCAATGCCGAGCACAAACCACCTCAGAACGTCATGTCATGCCAGGATAGCTAAATGGGGTCCTCTCGAAAGTAATACAGTTTCCCACCGGGGTCGTCAACTTCAATAGCCTTGTCTCGCCCAATACTATGAGCTCTATTCGTCCGAATTGAGGGAAGACTACAAGGGAGATGTCATAAAAGGTATGTTCTTGATTTCCTCTGTGGAAAGAATATCGGCACGGTGGCAATTTTCTTCTGTTAGAACCTACTCATTGGGGGTGGTTGTTAATTGCTTGGTTTGTTCTCAGCCTCCTTTGCATATGGGAATGTTGCCGCATTTACGCCTTCGGCTTTTCAATTCTCAATATTCAAATTGGGGCAATCTAGCTATTGTATGTCTGTACTGTAATGAAGTAATACTGAATTCGAGAGCTTTTCCCCGCCAACAATGTTCTCGCTTCCACGGCCAAACCCCAGATTTCGGGATGTCGTAAAAAATTAAGGCTTGGAAGCAGAATCATTTTCCAGAACAAAAGGAAAGCTGATACTTTTCTTTAACCTATAGATTTCTATAAACTGCATACAAATTGCCACATTTCAAAATCTCCAACAGCAAAACATAAGCCATACCCCGCTGGCATCATCCCTTCCTAACGCCGACGACTTCTTTCTCTGACCCTTCCACCCTTCCCTCTTCAAGAACAACCCAAAATAAAAGCTGCAACACCAAAACCAAAAACAAGAAAAAAGATAAGAAGCTCTCCTCTCGAAGAACCTCGGGAATTGAGCCCGAGGTGGGGCTCGAACCCACGACCTTGAGGTTTTTGTATCATCTACTACCAGGAACACCTAGGAAAGGATATTCCTGATGTTATAAGAGCCACACGCTCTACCGATTGAGCTACCCGGGCAATTGTGAACTGCTTTTGGTTATTGCTGTTCTCTTGAGGGAGATTGCTTATTGGGGTATGTGAGGGGGGTGGAGTGATTTCAGCGTTTTGGGTTGGAGGGTGGTGTGGAGCGAGGC